AGAGAAGGGGAAACCAAGAGACAGTGAAAACGCCAACAGGCCGGGTAAGCTAGGAAACCAGAAACCCAAACCCGGCAATAGGAGAGCCAAAAGGCACAAACAAATCACACAACCATGTGTAGGATAAAATGAGAAAACGGAAAAACACAAGAAAAGACCAGAAGAAAAATACCCCAGCACCAACGGCCAGGGACAAGAGTGTAGAAGGAAGATGAGGAACGAAAAAGGCAAGAAGCAAAACAGGAATGAAAAGGACAAGAACAGCAGCACACACAACCACTGGCCACGTGCCAACAACCCACGCCAACAACACAGTTGTGTGACACGCCCCAACAAAAGACAAAAAGGAAAAACGGCGCGAAGGTATGCCACCAGACTAGTACCCAAACCAAGGAGTACAAGCCACGAGGATATGATCACTTCATGTAAGATTCCCAAAGGAAGTGACAAGGTAGAGAAAGACCGACTACAGGACCCCAGGGGCACACACACCAGGGGACACCGGTTGAAGGAGAGTCCAAAGAGCCAAAGAGACATGGGAAAGAAGGATTGCTGTGTCAGAGTTGTTGACCAGCAGAACACAAGAGGAAGCGACGTGGTGAAGGATGACACCCACACACAGCTTCAAGCGCAGATAAGATAGAGTCCAGCAGGCTCACGAACTTGCACATGAGCAAATGACAGGTGAGAAGCAGGACCAAAAAGCCAGAGCTCAACTCTCGGAAACACAACTAGGTAAATACCGTACAGAGAATCCAATGTATATGGAAGGGCTAAGCCCGGCACCTCAAGACATGCAAGGAATGAGTGACCCAGAGAAGACTACGAAAAATGGGGCCGTGACCCCCCCCTCCTTGCAATCATTTACCCAGATGAACCAGTAAGGCCCCAGGAAAAGCTCAGATGGGCCAAGCAAAAATCCACAACCAATCCCCAACACGCATCCACAGTATGAAAACATCCAGACAGGAACACTTACCCCATAACATATACCCCCACCAATGTACCTCGTAACCATGTGGAGGTAGAGCCCCTATCTGGACTCAAGCACGGGCTGGACGTGCATAAGAGTGGGACTGGATGGGGATGGGTATAAATAAAGAGCTGCCCCGTTATGGCCCAATAGGCCTGCTGCAGTCACCTGTGCTCTGATGTTCGTATATTCGTATCCAAAAACACCAACCAGCGCCTGGCCGAAGAAGAAGCCAGACTGCTTAAACTCACCTGCAGAACGTAGACACAAATGTGTCACGACACAACGTAGCCGAGAAGATTTCAGGAGCGCCGCCAGTGGAAGAAGGCTGAGCCGCACTTGCAGAAGAGTAGGGGAGAGGCGAAGCCCCACACGCATACGCAGGGAAAACCCAGCGTCCTCCCCATAGCGGCAATCCAGAACACCCCCATGAGATACGGGGCACGGACTGGAGAATTGAGAAGAGCGAGAGGAGAAGCACCCGAGAGAAAAAGGGTGCAAAACCCCAGCTCACGTGCACACCGCCCATATCAAAAGAAAACCACAGCGCATGCACAGCAGGGATGCCAGACGTGGGACGCCAGAAGTCGCGAGCTGAAGAAAGAAACCACGAATGTGACTTGAAAAAAAGAGACAAAACAGTGTTGTTAACGACCTAATCCCAGAGGAGAGTACACAGGGCAGCCGCCAACCATAGTCGAAAAGAGCAGGAAGGAGCGAAAAGAAACTTAGCACAGCTTCCCATTTGGGCTACAAAGAGCCCAATCTGGCAACCCTGTGCAGCGCAGGACAGTGCACAGAGAAGGAGAGAAACACGAAAAAACGAAACAGAACTGAAAACCGAGAAACATGGAGAAGGACCTACAAGCCCCAGAAAGGCCCGGAAGACGACAGACGTTCTAAGAATATGGGAAGAAGCAAAACTTTCCCGATTCTTCTAGAACAAAGAAGCAAGCGTGAAGCATGAAGGGACAGAAAACAAAGTCGCACCCGAGACCAAAAGTCATGCAGAACCCCGAGAAGAGGGGAACATGACTGAAGGCCCATCCCATCCCAAGAAAAAGGGCGGAGAAACGGACCCAATGGATCTAAGGGACAAGGAACCGATCCTGGGGAGGGGCTGACTTCCAAAAACATGTACGGAAAGGGGGAGGGGGGGGGGGGGGGGGGAAGGAAAATCCCACTCCTCGTAACCACAAGGAGTTTAACCACTCCAAGTAACCACCGCTCAGAGGGCAGAAAAACCCACGCGGGAACCAGATGTAAGCCCCTCACCAGCCCCGGGAACCTACAAGGCAGGTCCTGGGGTCGAGCCGTTCCCCCAAATCCCCAGCCTCACAAGAAAAGCCCGGGCAACTGGACAAGTACTAAGGAAGGGAGCCCACTGGCAGACTCATACAACACGGCTGGAGGCACCCGAGCCACACCCTACCCTGAGGAAACCCCCACCCTGAGGAAACCCCCCACCCTGAGAAAACCCTCCACCCCGAGGAAACCCTCCACCCTGAGGAAACCCCCAACCCCCCACCCTGAGGAAACCCCCAACCCCCCCCCCACCCTGAGGAAATGCCCCCCCCCCCCCCCCGTCCTGAAGAAATGCCCCCCCCCCCCCCCACCCTGAGGAAATGCCCCCCCCCCCGTCCTGAGGAAATGCATCCCCCCCCCGTCCTGAGGAAACACCCCCCCCCATCCTGAGGAAATACCCCCCCCATCCTGAGGAAATACCCCCCCCCATCCTGAGGAAATATCCCCCCCCATCCTGAGGAAATACCCCCCCCCTATCCTGAGGAAATACCCCCCCCCTATCCTGAGGAAATACCCCCCCCTATCCTGAGGAAATACCCCCCCCCCATCCTGAGGAAATACCCCCCCCCATCCTGAGGAAATACCCCCCCCCCATCCTGAGGAAATACCACCCCCCCCATCCTGAGGAAATACCACCCCCCCTATCCTGAGGAAATACCCCCCCCCTATCCTGAGGAAATACCCCCCCCCCCCCCCCCCTATCCTGAGGAAATATCCCCCCCCCATCCTGAGGAAATACCACCCCCCCCCCCCTATCCTGAGGAAATACCACCCCCCCCTATCCTGAGGAAATACCCCCCCCCCTATCCTGAGGAAATACCCCCCCCCCCTATCCTGAGGAAATACCCCCCCCCTCCCCCCCCCCCTGAGGAAATGCCCTCCCCCCACCCTGAGGAAATGCCCCCCCCCCCTGCCCTGAGGAAACGGCCCTCCTCCCCGCCCTGAGGTAGCCCCCCCTACCCTGAGGAAATGCCCCCCCCTACCCTGAGAAAATGCCCCCCCCCCTACCCTGAGAAAATGCCCCCCTACCCTGAGGAAATGCCCCCCCCCCGTCCTGAGGAAATGCCCCCCCCCCCCCTGAGGAAACACCTACCCCCCTCCTCACCCTGAGGAAATAAATGAGGTAACCCCCCCTACCCTGAGGAAATGCCCCCCCCCCCTGAGAAAATGCCCCCCTACCCTGAGGAAATGCCCCCCCCCCCCCGTCCTGAGTACCCTGAGGAAATGCCCCTCCCCCACCCTGAGGAAATGCCCCCCCCACCCTGAGGAAATGCCCCCCCCCCCACCCTGAGGAAATGCCCCCCCCCACCCTGAGGAAATGCCCCCCCCACCCTGAGGAAATGCCCCCCCCCCACCCTGAGGAAATGCCCCCCCCCCACCCTGAGGAAATGCCCCCCCCCCACCCTGAGGAAATGCCCCCCCCCCCACCCTGAGGAAATGCCCCCCCCCCACCCTGAGGAAATGCCCCCCCCCACCCTGAGGAAATGCCCCCCCCCCTCCCCACCCTGAGGAAATGCCCCCCACCCTGAGGAAACGTAGTAAGACTTATCTGCAATATCCATACCACATTAACCCTTAACTGCACAAAACGTCATATGATGTGTGACATCGAGTTCAGTTTTATAAGTTTTCTGAAACTCTTTCAAATGTTTTGTGCATAATCTACTAAGCAAATGCTCCAACTTTATCTAAATAATACCAGTGTAACCTACCATGTTGTAGGTCAAGAAAAATACCCCCCCCCAAAAAAAAAATAAGGATAATTATTATAATTATAATGATTTAGAGGATATACTTTATACAAGTAAAAATGCCCTAATCTGGTCCCTAATCATCAAAACAACCTAAAGAAACAAGGAAAATAGAGTTTGAAATCTGAAAAAAATCAGCCCAAAAAATTAAACATCCCAAGTTCTGAGAGCTGTAAGCGATTTATTTGTTGACCAATTTAATTGTCTTCACATAGTTAGGGACGGGTATGCATTTTCCAGGATGTAAGGGTTACACCAAATTCAAATAAAGAAAAAAACTAAAAACCTTAAAAAAAAAAGAAGTCCCCTAAAAATTTAATTTTTGGACATTGTTGAAGGTAACTGATAACATTGGGCAATGTATTTATATGATATATAACAAAATAGAGCATAATAACATACTCATTATTATTTGTGCATTTATGTATTACTCACCAATGCTATAACGGCACCAGTTGTATATCCACTTTGTGGACACTTTACTACTATTCTTCTTCTTCTTTGTGCGCCGGACAGGTGCTTGCATCTATTATTGCATTATCCATCAGTTCCAGTTAATAGGAGCTGTTCTCCTTATCACAAAACGTTCTTTTTTTTAAATATTCAACTAAAATCAATTTCTGAAAATATTTTGACGAACGTTTCACGACTCTGAAGCCAATAAGTTGGAGATTTGTTTAACATTTTTAAGTAATTTTTAAATAATTTTAATGTTTTTCGAATTAAACCCCCTTATGCTGAGCAGTTTAAGGGTTAACGAAAAGGAACAAAGTACTTACAACATTTAGGATGGTACAAAATTATTGTGAAATAAAAGTACCGTACTAACAGATAAAGAGAAGGAAAATTAAATCAATAAATATTGATAGAGCAACAAATACTACAGTATTTGAGTAATCTACTTCTCCAGGTATTTGTATTCAACTAAAAAGCAATATGCAGATAACTGGCACAGTTTTGAAAACACTCACGTATGGTTCTTGGTATCGTCTACATATTCTATGGTGGCTTCAGGGGACGGAACTCTAGGTTCAGGCTCGACCTCAACTTTGGCTCCAAACCGACCCGTAGCGTTCAGTGCCTCAAAGACTGAAGGCAATGCGTCAACCCCACCCTGTAAACAAGTATGTTTAATTACTCTTCTGATGCAGCATCCTCAATAGGGCCTTTGTCTTATAATTAAAGAACAAGAGAATTACTCTTAAAAGCACAAGCACTAAAATGCCATTATTAGGCCAAATGGCTGTATCAAAAGCACAATTTATTATTTAAGACCTGTTTTATCCCCGACATATAGAAGGAGCAAGAAAATACGGTATACTTGTGTAAAGAATACTTAACTCTAATTAACTTTTATTTGGATGAAGCAAGCTTACTGGGATGTCAAGAGAGAAAAAAATTATGCAAACTAATTGATGGTGCATTACATAAAAAGAGGCCAAGTAAATTTAATAGCATATGCAAATTCACAAAAACTAAATAAGGAACATTGAGATAATGTAGTGTATATGCATACCTTCGACGATGGTACGACAGTGACAATGGTTGTCGCTGGGCTTCCCGAAACAACAGTTGCAGGTATTTGACTGTGTGAATTTGGAGTTAAAGGCTGACGACTGAGAACAGTAGTTGCTGCCTGGCGTAGTGATGGCTGACCAATGCTGGTGGTGATTGTAGTCATAGAGGCAACAGAAGATGTAGTAGTGGCAATGGCAGCAACTGGAGTGGTTGTGGAAGTTGTCGTGGTAGGGCCCTGCAGTTAATTAAAAAGGAATATTTTTCAATATTTTTAAATACTGTATATACATTATGAAAGCTGTGAATGCATCCTGGCACCTAAAATTCTTATTTGCCATCTCTAGTGCATTTCCACAAGATTTCAAATACTTGAAACATACAACTTGATACCACTTTGAATATTACAAAATTTTAATATACAGTACAGCATGTCAGTTTTGAAAATTACCTCAAACTGTAATTGTACATCCTTTACAGTTTAATAATTACCAGGGTTACCCTAATATCTTGTATTAGGGTAACCCTAAAGCAGAGTAATACATGCAATTTATTTACAGATTAAATACTGAATATACTTTAACTTCCCCATAACACAAACAGAAGTGATGTGAATCAAATAAATCAAATTAACAAAGTATGTGCTATATACAGTATCAGTAAACATTATTTCGGTATTGGACAGTACAGTGTACTGCAAATTTTCCAGTCACCGGTAATGAGGAGAAAGTATTAACGTAAAAATGAAACCTAACTGAGCTTTGTTTTAACCCTTACATGGCCCCACTTACTATATAGCATTATCTCCTGTGCTCCAACTGATGTATGCAAGTTGTTTAACATTTGATTTGTGGAGTATTTTCTCACCCACACCACGATGTAGGGCTTTTAAACTGTCGAGCTGTTAAAGGGTTAAATGTGACCAGTGGCTTTCCCACAGCTGGAACTCTTTCATCCAGGCTTGTGCTTTGCCACGTAAATATTAATGAACGTGAATACAGTACTGTGGAGCAATATTATACGATATACTGTTCATGGTCTCTTATTTCCCCATCTATTTATGTACGCACCAAATTTAAGTGTGGGCACACATTCCTAGCATGTCGAGCTTTCCCCACTGGTGCGTGGGGGATAACTTGCATGATGGTAATGTTATAGATTTGCTTACTTGTTCATTGTTGTACAGTACATTCTTTTAAATTTACCTATTTGTAAATAATTCCCATCATAGGGTAAACACACAGCCCAGCCCCTAGAACTTTATTTTTTTAAACTAGCTCCATGACTCGTCTATGTGGAAGAGTGAAACTGTACCATACTCAAATTCCAAACAAACCTTATATATTTTGTTTAAATTATGTTCACCGTCATTCTCACAGCTAATAATTATTGTGCCTATACAAATCCTTAAAAACGTGAACCATATACCCCCCCCTCCCCCCACCCTCAATATGATTGCATCTGCCGAGTAAAATCTTAAATTTCACCTCTTCATAGGATGGCTATGAACTCAGTTTCAGACTTGACTCAGTTTCCAATCTCACCCCCAACCTTTTCTCACACTGCAGCACAAAACAATGCCTAGAGACATATCAGAATAAACATGTTTTGTACTTTAATTGTGCTCAACCTTTAAATGTATGCAGAAAACAATACTTTCATTGTATTTTACTTTGTAAACAAGCATTTAAATTTTATAATCAAATTCTTGGTCCTGGAATACATCCTGTTTTTTCCTTTAGATTTTTAACAAAATAGTATGTGGTCTGGTTTGACGGCTCATAACTACTGAAAACAATAACGATATAACTGCAGGGGCTTTGATCAGGCTTCACGAGCATGTTCAGAGTAACTGATCAAGAGGAGACAAAGCTGGAGAACAACTAAGCTTCCACACAGGTGCTGAGAGGTTTATTTATACAGAGTTTCTTCACACTCTCACCGCTATACAATAGTTAAACATATCCTAATCATTCTTCATCATAATTTAAATCTTATCCTGCCTATACTCTTATCTCATTTCCAAAACTTTATGTTAGTGTGAACTATGTTCTAGTACAAGCGAGACTGAGGTAGATATAATTATGCTCTCGTGTCCGAGTACCAAAGAACATCAGGTAAAAGTGCATTAATGGGTATAGCATAACCTTGTACAACGTGGAACCTTGTGGCAGTGATGCAATATCAAAGTCCTGTCTACACTCAGTAATCCAAATCTTATAAGTCTCATCCCCCCATTCAAGTTTGACAAACAATCAAGCTAGCACACTTTTTTTTTTTTACTGGGAATGTCCAAAAATTAACAAATTCAAATTTATTTAGGTTTCTGTTTGGTACAACCTTTAAACCCAAATTCCAATTCTGGTTAAAATGTAAAAAAAAAAAGGTGAAACGTCCTAACATGAATTCATTCAGATTACAGTACTCAAAGATTTGGATTACTGAAATCCAAATCACCGAGCTCCCACAGTCTGACAACTATAGTCATACTGGCTCAGCGGTCTCTGCTGATAAGTACCTTACAATTCTGACAACAATACATCATTCACGAAGAGAAATATAGAAATGGTAAAATGTGCTTCAAAAGTAGGTGCAGCAGACAAAGTCGTGTCTAAAAATACATACCGTACATGTAAGAAGCAAAGCAAGAACAAAATTGGGCATAAGCAAGTAACACATGAGAACCGAAGACAATGGGAAATATTTCAATACTTCTCATAGCTACACCTCTATAGAAAAGATCTACAATCAAGAATAAATATATAAACAGTAAAATGCTATCATGCAAATTTGGAACCATACCCATATATCTGATGGGCTACATCTACAAGTCTCCTAAGAAATGCGAGTTTCATTTATTAAATGTATTTACCGCTGGATGAAGCTGGTGCTGGTGATGATGAGCCTGATGTGGACTTAGTGGCTCAGTTTTAATGGGAGTGGTGATGGCTGGTCGTGGTGTTGTGCTCACCTCGACAACACTTGTCACATGTCCCGTTACAGGTATAAGGCCTGCCCCCAAAATACCCCCCGATGTTGGCCCCAAAATTGATCCCGGAATTGTTAGCGAATCAATTTTGGGATCGCAAATTTCCACTTTCTGAAAAGCGAGAAATTATTCGTTACTACTCAACTTGATGTATATGTGGATTGGACTGGCATGGCATTTAATGGCTATGTGTTAGATCACATGAATGTAAATGCATGAATTTTGGTGTTCTTGAAAATTTCATGTTTGAATACATTGTACTGTAGTTAAAACTTTTATTTCCAATGTTAAAACTGTCTATCAATTCACAATACAACCAGATGAGAATACAGAGTTGATAGATAATGGGCCAGAACCTTATTGTTGTGGATGTGACACCAAGATCCTGCCAGTGTATATATTTGAGGACAGTATTCCACTATCAGTATAGATATGTATATGGAGTTTCATGCTATAAGGTGCTCCTAATAGTATTTACACGTACAGCACATTAGTTTAATATTCAGTTTAGTGTATATTTTAGTTTTTTAATGCTAAAACAAACAATTTACTGTAGTAATAAGAGAATGAAGGAAAAAAATTGTTGTTGGATCTTTGATGATGCTCATGAAGAGCACGCTAAATATTCATGCACGACACGCAACGATCATAGTTAAAGTTTCAAGAGCTACACAATGGTAATCTAACAAGCCAAGAAGCTTCCTTTAATAACACCGAATAATATTTGTACGTTTGTTATTAGGGGTGGTACCCGGCATCGCACAGGTTTATCTCCAATCTGTCTATCCACCTATCCAACCATCTATTCATCTATCCAGTCATCTATTCATCTATCTATCTATCCAGCCATCCATCTTTTCCATCTACTGTCTCTCGAGTAAAAATAAAATTGTTCACCACTGGATTATGGTGTATGGGTGCTCACTGATGAGACGAGCTTAGCTGTATGAAATACTAAAAAATGGAATAGTTTCCCCATACAGTATTAAAACCAAGAGATTGTGATCGACTTCTTTACATAATAGCTATTAAACCATATAATGTGTTCCATGTATATTATACAGTATATTATAACATGCAGATGATTAGTCACAATAACGTGGCTGAAGATGTGATGACCAAACCACACATCGGAAGATAAAGAAACTACGACGTTTCGATCCGTCCCCGGCCATTAACCCTTAAAGTGCGCATCACTTCATATGAAGTGTAAATCGTTTTACCAGTCAACTGCGCTTCACTTCATATGAAGTGTATGGGTACCGCACACGATTTGAATGGCCCGCGGTGTAGCTGGGGGTCCCATACGCTGCCCAGGGGCTCTAGTAAACAGCGGCCATTTTGAAAAAAAATCCAGCTCACGATTCGATGGCATGGGAGGCCTCAGTTTAGCGAGAGTCACCATGGCGAGCGCACGGTCAAACGCCTCACGGGCACGCACCACTCAGTCCCTCACCCCAGAGCAAATAGCCCACGAATTATTCTCTGAAGGTGAAGAAAGTGTGTTTGACGATTCAGACAACGATGAGGATTATACACAGTTGTCGGGTGATAGCAGCAGCAGCAGTGAAAGTGAGAATGACCGCCATGCCATGGCGAGGCCTATTCGCTCTCCCATGCCTCCTCGCCCATTTTCTACCCCAATTCTACCACGACCTCACAGTTCCTGTGGATATTTTCTGTTTGAGGGTGACGAGTCAGAGGGAGGTGACTCCTTTTCTGGGTTTAGTGACTCAGATCAAAGTTTTATTGAGCCTCTGGCTGGTACCAGTGGTGTAACTGGGCGAGAAATTGTCGCGTCAGCAGCATCTCGCCCGGCCAAGCGCCACCGCATGGCACCACATGAGGGACCAAGACCCTCGTGTTCACGTGCACCCACCTCACGTGCACCCACCTCACGTGCACCCACCTCACGTGCACCCACCTCACGTGCTTCTCGCAGACGGTATTCAGCTCCTGGTCGCCGGTATGCATCGCTTCCTCGCCGTCTTTCCTCTGCATCTCGCAGGACGCCTGGTGTACTTGAGTGGAGTGATGGTGACGATTTTATTCCTAATATTCCTCACTTTGACGATAAAGATGTAGGGATTACAAACCTTTTCCCTAATCAAGGTGAGGACATGGCTGAGATGGAATATTTTACAGCATTCTATGATGAACCACTCATGGAATACATTGTACACCAAACGAACCTGCATGCTGCTTACCTGATTGAGAGGGAAATCACAGAATTTTCACGACTGCAGCGTTGGAAAAATACCACAGTGGCGGAAATGTATGTGTTTTTGGCACTCTGTTTGTTGATGAAGCACTGTCACAAACATGCAATAAATGACTATTGGAGCAAGGACAAGACAATACCAACACCTTTATTCGGGAAATATATGTCACGAGACAGGTTTCAGATACTCCTCAGGTGTCTACATTTTGGAAGTGTTCAGGACCGAACACCTGATGATAGACTGTGGCGAGTGAGGCACTACATGAACGATGTTATTGGAAAATTCAGAGATTTTTACGTACCAGCACAGAAGCTGGTGGTTGATGAATCTCTCATACTTTTCAAGGGACGTGTTCCATTCAAACAGTACATTCCCTCAAAACGAAACCGATTTGGCCTGAAATTTTTTGTTCTTTGTGATTGTGAGACAGGATACGTGTTACACATGATTCTGTACTCGGCTAGTGATGTAGACATTCCCGGTAACGACGAACATGGATTCTCGGGGAGTGTAGTGAAGACCATCATGGCTCCGTGGATGAACAAGGGACACATTTTATACACAGATAATTACTATACAAGTCCCTTGCTAGCTCGGTTCTTGCTAGAAAATAGAACCGGATTGGTTGGTACAGTAAAGCCACAACGAAGGGAAATGCCTGTGTTTGACAACGACATTGCAGTTGGTGAGTGTCAGAGAAGGAAAAGTGATAACATTCTGTCAGTTCGGTGGAAAGACAAAAGAGAGGTGAACTTGTTGACAACAATTCATGATGGAACAATGGTGAACAGTGGGAAAGTGAGCCATAAAACAAACGCACCACTATATAAGCCAGACTGTGTTTTAGACTATAATATCAACATGCGGTTGATTGATAAATCAGACATGATGATTGGCACTGCAGAGTGTGTGCGGAAGACATGTAGGTGGACGAAAAAAGTGTTCTTCCATCTTGTGGACATGAGCATGCTGAACTGTTTCAACATGTACCTTGTGAGAACTGGACGTAAGCCCACTTTCTGTGACTTTGTATTTGATGCTGCAATACAGTTATTAGGAAAGTTTGCAAAAGATGTCCCAGGTATTCAGCGGCCCATCATAAACCCACTGTTGCAGCATGCTGGTACTCCACGCCTCGCTCACACTGAAGGCTTCCTAGCACACAAACTTAAGTATTTGCCACCTGGTGTGAAGCGTGCAATAGCCCAATGTGATTGCTTGGTGTGTAAAACAACGACACGTAGAGACAAGAAACGGAAGCTTGTGCAAACATGGTGTGAAACGTGTGGTATCCCATTATGTGCTGTCGACTGCTTCAATGACTACCACAGTCTAGAAATCTTCTAAGTGTGCTTCAAAGTGTGTATAGCGTGTGCGAGTGTGTAAATATGTAAACATATAAGCAGATAGCGTGTGCGTGTGTGTAAATATATACAAATATAAGCAGAACATACAATATAATAGACTGTAATGACATATTATATTTCCGTAATTGAAAACATTTGTGTGCGCCTGTGTATACTCAAATATGCAACAATTATTGATACAAAATATGTTCAAACAGTATTTGAAACACAATTAGTGAAAAAAAATTAGATAAAATGCGCTTAGACATTGTAAATAAATAGCGCGAAAATATATTTGTGGCAACTCTGGCTGTTTGAGGACCACGCGCAACATCTCCCGGGCGTGTACTGCATGAGCGAACATGCAGATTGTGACGTCATCACCGAGCTTCTCGGCTCTATTGCAACAAAAGTAAGTACAATAGAATTTTTTTTTTATTTTTCCCGTGATCAGTGAACAGAACTTAACAGATTAGCAAAAAAAAAAAATTTTTTTTTTTTTCAAAATGACATGCGCCTGTGTGGATAGCAGGATATTAGACCCCGAGCATGTTAAGGGTTAAGGTAGGTAGGGGTGGGGTGTGGGGGGGGTGGGGTGTGGGGGGTGTGAGTGTGAGAGAGTGTGTGAGAGAGTGTGTGAGAGAGTGTGTGAGAGTGTGTGTGAGAGTGTGTGAGAGTGTGTGTGAGAGTGTGTGTGAGAGTGTGTGTGTGTGAGAGAGTGTGTGAGTGTGTGAGAGAGTGTGTGAGAGAGTGTGTGAGAGAGTGTGTGAGAGAGTGTGTGAGAGAGTGTGTGAGAGAGTGTGTGAGAGAGTGTGTGAGAGAGTGTGTGAGAGAGTGTGTGTGAGAGAGTGTGTGTGAGTGAGAGAGTGTGCGAGAGAGTGCGAGAGAGAGTGCGAGAGAGAGTGCGAGTGTGTGAGAGAGTGTGAGAGAGTGTGAGTGTGAATGTGAGTGAGTGTGAGAGTGAGAGTGAGAGTGTGAGTGAGAGTGTGAGTGAGAGTGTGAGTGAGAGTGTGAGTGAGAGTGTGAGTGAGAGTGTGAGTGAGAGTGTGAGTGAGAGTGTGAGTGAGAGTGTGAGTGAGAGTGTGAGTGAGAGTGTGAGTGAGAGTGTGAGTGAGAGTGTGAGTGAGAGTGTGAGTGAGTGTGAGTGAGTGTGAGTGAGTGAAGAGAGGGGTGATTGATTGAAGATTAAGCCACCCAGGAAGCGGCACAGGCATGAATAGCCCCTAATGGAGAGAGGACATAACGGGCCAATAAATAAGTAGAGTGAGGTGAAGGGAATCATCAGGGGAAAGCACCAAGCCATTGCGACTATATAGCACTGGAAAGGGGTCAGGATAAGGATTTGGGATGGGACGGGGAGGGAAGGAATGGTGCCCAACCACTTGGACGAAAGAGTGAGGTGAGGAGCAGGTAAGAGACGAGTAATTTCTAGGAGGATGTAACACAATGTGTTTTATTTATATAAAACGAAAGTTCAGTCACACAGGATATCGTTAGCAGCAGGTTGTCGGCCCTATAAGTATTCTAGTCACACCTTTTATGT